ATCTGTAGAACTCTTTGAGTTGTATTAACATTTAAACAGTATTATTTTTTCTAATGCACAAACACTGGATATCTTTACATTTATTTGTATCTTCTTCAATTTCTTTCATCAATTATATTATAGTTTTCAGTGTATAGATCTTTCACATCCTTGGTTAAATTGATACTTAAGTATTTTTTTTTTTGGTAACTATTATAAATGGGATTATTTTCTTGATTTCTTTTTTGGATAGTTTGTTGTTGGTGTATGGAAATGCTAATGATTTTCGTATGTTGATTTTGTATCTTGCAACTTTACTGAATTATTTTATAAATTCTAACTGTTTCTTGGTGGTGTCTTTAGGATTTTATATAAGTAAGGTCACATTGTCTGCAAACAGGGACAATTTAACTTCTTCCTTTATAATTTGGATGGCTAGGACTTCTAGTACTATGTTGAATGGAAGCGGTGAGAGTGGGCATTCTTGTTTTGTTCCTGATTTTTGAGGAAAAGCCTTCAACTTTTCACCATTGAGTATGATGTTAGCTATGGGCTTGCCATATATAACGTTTATTCATGCCTACTTTCTTTTCTGTGTACCTCTCTTCCTACTAGGAGAGCAGGGACCTTATTTTTAACTTATTGCTGTGCTCTGAGATTTGCATTAAATACAGTTTCAAGAAGGAAAACAAACTAGAATTAGTGGGATTAGAGTGAATTTGTAGCTGTGGGTGGAGGAATTAGCCAAGTGGAAAGGCTTAAACTTCTTGTGTTCCCTACTATTAGCAATCTAACATTAACTTTAATTTACAAAGGTTTACAGAATTGGGGGGCTTTTGTTATAAAATGTTTTTTTCTTAATTTAAAAGTGGTAAGAAATTATAACTTGAAATATCCTAAAAATATAGGAAATAAAAGAAAAATAACCCATAATTCTACCATCCCTTGATTAATTCAGTTAACGTTTTGATGTGCTTTGTTCAAATTATATATCTAATATTTGTATCTACAATCTTGGGCTCACCCTATACATACTGTATTTTTTTCATTTACAGTATATAATTTGAACACCTTACCATTAAATATTTTTCTTTATATAATTTTGTTTTCTTATAATATTCTACTTTGTAGACATAGCCTAAGGTTTTGTTTCCCCTGGAGTGTTTAAACCAATCCTCTATTGTTGGATATTGATATTGTTTACATGCTCCTATCTATTATAAATATGTTGCAGTGAACATGATTTAAACAAAATTTTGTTGTGCACCCATGGTTAATTGTTTAACATATATTTCTTCTGTAACTAGAGCTTTGGATAAAATATTTTAAACTTTTTAAAACTTTTAAAAATATTTTAAACTTTTTAAACTTTTTTCATATTGATTGCAAATCTCCTCCTCCATCCCTACACCTCCAAAAAAGCTATGTCAATTCATACCCCTTTCAGTCATGAGATCTTTATCGACTTTTTTTTTTATTTCAGTGTATTATGGGGGTACAAAAGCTTTGTTTACACAAATTGCCTTTGCACTGCCTGAGTCAGAGCTAAAAGTGTGCCCATCCCCCTGACAATGCTTTCTCTGCTTTTAAAAAAAATTGCAGTTGTTGATTCTCCTCTTTATAAATAATCATATTTTTAATGAAAAATCTTTCTTTATGATTTTCTCTCTTCTTATTTTTGAATTCCCTTATTGATTTCTGTCTCTTAAGTTTTAAAATGATCCTCGTGTTAAATTTATTTTTATTTTGCCTTGAATGTTTTGCTGAAAATACTTTACAGAATCCTCATGAAAGAGAGTTATGCTTACTCAATGATTATGAACTCAGTTAAAAGCAACAAATATTTGCTAAAAGAAAGTAAATATTTATTAAGTACCTGAGTGTCCAATACCATGCTAAGGACCCTGGCGGATACCTGAGAAGCACAAGGCATGGCCCTCTGGGGTCTCCTGTTCTTCAGGGGAACCATAATCAAACTCAATACACAAAACTCAATAGCATTTTCTCAACCTTTCTAGACCCCAATACCTGGTCACTATCCTCTGTGTATCAGCCCCTCATTAGCCAAGATTTTGCCCAGCTTTCTTTTCTGTGTTATAAATTATTGAACTAGGTCTGTTGAACGTGCTCTTTCAAATGACCTGTACACGTGTGACCATCCTGTTCTGATATGCCTTCTGCCTTCAGTGGAGAATGACTTTGTTAGAGAATCATCCAAAGGTCTCTGTGAAATTTACTCTAAGAACCTTAAATGTGGACAGTTTACCAGTGAGGCCTGGCTGGGTAAGGCCTAAGTTAGAATGTTTCTCAGTGAGTTTCCTACAGTACTCAAGCCTGTCAGTGGCTCAGGTGCCTCAGACCCTGGCCAGGCCTTTGCCTCCCTGTCTCTTCCCCAAGCTACCTTTATCCTGCGCTGGCTTGCTCCTCCCTGAAGTGCTCACATTGACATTCCTGCCCCCACCTCTCTTTTGCTTTGCTCTCTATCTAATACCCAGCCTATTCCCTGATTCCAGGCATCTTGCTTCAAAGGTTGTAGTTCTGATTTATATCCCAGCAACTGGCTTTCCAGCTCTGTCCCTCACTCTCTGCTTGTCCCTACATTCCTACTTATCATTCACTTCTCATCATAGACTTGTGGGCCTAACCCCTTTCTCACTGGAACTAGATCCTGTAACTTCTACTGACCCAGCATAGAGCACGATGCCTGATCAAACACATTGCATAATAAATATTTGTTAATGAATAAATGAAATGGAAACATTCTCTTTCTTGAGTTAAAATCTATGTCTTGGACTTAATAATTGAGACCTACTAACACAATACTTATATTTCACTCACCTTTCTTCTTCTCCTCCTGCCCTAGATTTCTTGTTTTTGTTTTCCAGACTCTTGACATAAGGTACTGTCTAATCACTTTGCACATTTTATTTCTAATCTTTGCAACAATCTTGCAAGATAGATGTTGCCGTCTCCATTTTATATATGAAGAAGCTGAGGGTCCAGAGGTTCACTAGTTTCTCCAAAGTTAGTGGATCGGTTGTGGACCTCATTTCCCCATGGAGCTGCTCCTAGGATCACTGGCCCCTGGCCTTTTCCTGAGGTATCTAGACTTTCTTCTGACCCATGACCCTGCTCTTATCCTGACTAATCACCGTCATCCTGGCCTGGATCCTGCTTGGACAAAGGGAGTGATGGAGGAAGGATAAACCTGAGAGGTCCTGACAAGGTCTTTACATGAGAGATGAAAGCTAGGGGCTGAAGGGGATAGAAGAGCCAAAGATGTCTCCACATTTTCAACCTGAAGGAGCAGAAGAGCGGTGGTATCACCACAAGAAATTGGTAGTTTGGGAGTCTTATTCCTGGGTTGGTCAATCAGGTTTGCCTTCCAGTGACTATTCACTAGTTAATCATGGGCAGGGCTCTTAGCTTTTCTGAGCTTCAGTTTCCTCATCTTTTCTCTGAGCCTAATCTTAATGGACTCTCCTGTGTGTCATCGGTTTGCTGATCAGATGATGCAATGCATGTGTGGTGCTTTGTGAGGGATAAAACTGTATGCGTGTGCTAGCCATCATCAGTATCCTCAGATGTATCACTACTAGAGTCAGGCTGTAAATGATGGCATCAACTTCTTGGTTAAAGTATGTCTATGTCAGGGGACAACACACCGTGGCCTACAGCTCATGTCTGGCCTGCTGCTTGTTTTGTTCATGGCCCGTGAGCAAGGAATGGTTTTTACATTTTAATATGGTTGAAAAAATACCTAAAGAAAAATATTTATGACATTTGAAAATTGCAAGAAATTCAAATTTCAGTCACCAAAAATAAAGTGTATTGGAGCATAACTGAACCCGTTTATTTATGTAGTGGCTTTGGCTACTTTTGTGCTACAACAGCAGAATTGAATAGCTGTAACAGAGACTGTATGCCCCCCAAAACCTAAGATATTTACTCTCTGGCTCTTTATAAGAAAAGTTGCCACTCTGTTGCCTGCCTTCTTACCTGTTGAAGCTTCCAGAGAGGAAAGAAAATTTAAGGAAATCTTAAAGGTTTGTTTTTTTTTAAGTAACATTTCTTTTGTTTGATAATAGAGTTAAAATGAGAATATATTTATCTTTTTTCTCTTTTCTGATGCCTTTAAAAATGAATTTTAATTTAGTGTTAGAACATTATTATAACTATAAAAGGTAATTAAAGGTAATAGAAAACACCCACCAACAACCTCAAACTACCCTTACTTAACATGGCCATTCTAACATGTTTTCATTTTCATTGATGCTTCCTTCTGCTTTGGGCTTATATACTTCCAGTTGGTTGTAGTCACCATCTATATAGAATTTCATAGTTTATGTAGTCCTTTCCAATTAGCTTCTATAAATATTACTTGATTATTGCTTTTATTTTTCATAGTGGTTATGTCATAATAGAATGGCACAGTTCACAAGATATATATATGTAAATATAAATATATTTTAGGAATACTTCTTGTTCTTGTCTTTGGTTAAATACTTTCTTCTTCAAATATGATTGCAAGTGCTCCTTTTGGAGCCAGTGCTGGGCAGCCCAGGCTTGCCCAAGCCCTTTCCTCCCTTAATCTCTGCTCTCTGACATTGATTCAAGTGCAGCATTCCCACTGAGCATAAAAACTGAAAGATAAGGAATAAAGCTAAAGAAAAAATCTCAGAGAACAAATGAACTTGGTGTTTTAAAGGTGACCTCTCTGCCAAAGCATTCATTAACAAAACATTTAACAAACAAAAATATTCCATGCTCATCTAATAATATGATAGATGTTTGTGCTCTGTTACGTTTTTACTACACTTGATCTTAGCCAAAAGGCTGAGAAGCGATACATTTTTAAATAAGTAGAAATAAAAGCAAGACCATTACTGTCATCATGTTGATACTGTTGACCCTTTTACTGTATTTTATACAAAAAAATCTTCAATGTATCAAATTAGCTTAATACCATGAAATATAAGTAAAATATGGCTATTTACATTTTATTCTCTTATTTTTTCTAGTGAGAAGCTGGATGGAAAAATTAAAAGACAAGGTAAGAAAAGTATTTTCTTCATTTGAACTTATCTTGACAGGCATATATAGCTTTGTCAAAGAAGAGATCTCCAGGGTAGCAGATTGTTAATTTATTATAGATTCTGCTAATTTATCTGTAAAGATACAGAACCACTTCCAGGTGCTCCGCAAGAAGGTCCTCTCTTTAAATTCCTTCTTATAGAACACAGGAAACACCTTATTCTTTGGAGCACCATTCATTCTTATAAAAGTGTAAGAATTTACCTTGGTTGGTATGCTCAGCTGAATAATATCCTATATATATATCAAGGTGGAGTTTCTTCTAGGGAATCTGAAGAATGTAATCCCATTCTATCTGGCATTGTTTGTGCCAATGTGAGGCTCTCTAGGCATGTAGCTTATTATAATGCTGCTACTTACTAAGCATTAATGAGCTGACCTCTTGGAATGGCCAACTATAGAAAAATATTTTCCTCTTTTGCATTAACTGCCATCTACATAGTGATTGACAATATTAACTTCTTTCTGGGTTCATATTGTTCATTTTCTTTTGATTTTCAAACCTCTCCAAATTTTCACTTTTGGTTACATTATAATTTTAAACTGGAATTACTCATAAACATAATGATGGAGTCCAGAATTCCTTGCTGTAGCCCATGTCAGATGCCGTTATTACAGCCCAGCTCTGCTTGAACTGGAGTTTCAGTTAAATGGAGGTCTTTTCAATAGTCAGATATTGAGTTACCTCCAATTTACCAGCCTCAGTGTTCTTCTGTTGATGATAGTCCATATCTTTTTTATTTGGCATCATTTTTTCCATATTGGAATTATTCATATTTATTTTGCTATACCTTAATATTAAAGAATAAGAGAAAACATTCAATTGCAGTTAAATTATATAATTACATTAATTCTCACTATTTTTTTTTTTTGCTTCTCAGTAAAATTTAACATGTACAGTTTTTGATACTGAGACTATTTTGTATTCATATATATTAAAAGTAACACTGAAATTTTTTAAGGCTGTTGAGGTCAGTAGAGGCTGTTTTGGTATTTGTAATGGGTCCAGTTGTGCAAAGGACAGATGATCAGATGGACTGAGGAAAGACTTGGGGGAAGAAAAGCTCAAAAGTTTAGAATTGGGTATATTTACATTGGTAGTGCTTCTTATTATTTTTCCTGAGACAATATAACATAATTAAAATTAAATAGGCTTTGGTATGTTAATCTAGGAATCCATATGTCATTGTTTCTACAGAAAATATCCTTCTGAGTTAAAAAAAAAGACAAAAAATAGACTTAAAATAACTTTTGGCATGTAGCCTGTTTTAAAGATTGATATTGCTAAATTTCTTACTGCATGTAGATATACCTTCACCGCTCCCTTTAAAAATCTGTATAGTTTTAGAAAAAGGCTATATTTTCTATTCCTGTGAACCCTTCATTCTTATCTTACCTCAGAATCTTTATATGACCTTCTTGTTCCTTTTCACCAAGACAAATAATCTCATGTGTGGCCCCATTTTTCTGGCTTATTCTGAAAATTTTTCAGCTTTTTCTTCACCTTTTTCTGCAGTCTTTTTTTCAGTATGTTTTAATTTTTAAAAAGTTGGAAGAAGAAAATTTGAGACTCCTACAGTGGTTATCTTATTTAATGCCTATGTCTCCTTTTGACTCTGGGAGGGAATCAGTTAAATCTTCCCCATCTCTCCCTTCCTCCATGCTTGAAATATTACATGCTTACTTGATTTGGGCAGATCACACACATTTATATTGATATTTTACTCGCTGTCTTTCTATCCATCCATCCACCTATATTATTTATCATCTATTAAAGTCTTCTTAGTCATTATCTTCAGGAACCATTTGAGAACAAAACTACTGTCTCCTTGACGAAAGTCACAGAATCCCTTAAAACAGCCAAACCAGGATACTCTCTCAGGTTAGCTTCATTTTATTGTTCCAATATTAGGTATCTATTAGTTAGCTGGATATAGAAAGGGTGGTGTTTTCACAAGTTCTGGATTATTCCTTTTGTTGTTGTGTACTCTGATGCATGCTCCAGTTTGGGAACCACCATTGCATAGAAATCATGATGCTGTCTCAATTCAGCAGACTTTAGATAGTTCAGTGTGTCAATTGGTTATCTTATAGTTTCTTGACAGCATATGTTTCTGAATAAATATACTATCCTAAAAAGAAAGGATACCTTTCTCATATACTTCAAACAAACAAATAAATAAAAATCCTCCAAAGCCAAACAAATAAAAACAAGTGTATATTTGACTTATAATCCACTTAAAAAATTTAAAACTTTATTTGGAAATAATTTAAAACTTCCAGACAAGATACAAGAGTAGGAGTAGTACAAAGAACATTCCTACACTTTTACCTGGATGCACCTGCTGTTAACATTTTACCCCATTTGCTTGCTCATTTGCTGGCATATTCTCCTCTTTTTTACCTGAACCATTTGAGGATAAGTTACACACACCATGGCTTGTTTACCTCTAAATACTTCAGTGTGTCAGTATGTATTTCCTAAGAGTAGAAATATTTTGTTAGCAAATCTTAGTATAGTTATTAGCTTGAATATGTGTAACATCAATATAATACTGTTATGGAATCTGCCATCCATACTTCAGTTTTTTCAACAGACCCTCAATATCCTTTATATTAATAAAAGCATTTGTTCTTTTCTTGACAGGATCCAGTCCAGGATTATGTGACACATTTACTTGTCATGTTTCTTTAATTTCCTTTAACCTGGAACATTTTTATAGTGATTTTTTGTGTTACATGACACTGACATTTTTAAAGAATGCAGTCCTTTTTTAAAAAAAAATAATAGAATATTCTTTATGTTAGGTTTGTTGGATATTTCCTCATGATTAGGTTCGAGTTATGCATTCTTGTTTGGAATAACACGCTGGAACAATTCTGTTCTTCTCAGGGTGTAACATCTGGGGACACATGTGTGCAATAATTTTGAACAGAGAAAAGGTACTAGGCAGAATTTATAACTTCAAAATATGTTCATGCCATCTTATTTGTTTTCATTTCTGAAGAAATCAAGTCATGAACAGTTCTAAAAGAAGAGCTTATTTTCCCTCAGTCAGTTTTGAAAGATGATTGGTCAAGTTTTCTTTGAAGATGACAGGTTGCTTTGCTTCCATCTTGTAATTTACTTGCAATTTCAAGGCAAGGCAGATACCACCAAAAAAAAAAAGACAACCCCCCCCCCCAAAAAACAGAAAGAAAGAGGGACAAAAAGGGAGGGATAAAAGTGAATTTTTGTGACATCTAAATGATTTAAAGCTCTAAAGCTGGATTTAACCATTCTACAATGTATATATACTTCAAAACATGATGTTGTATATGATATTAAATAAATACATATAATTTTATATGTCAATTAAAAAATAAGACTGGGCATGGTGGCTCACGCCTGTAATCCCAGTACTCTGGGGGGCTGAGGCGGGTGGATTGTTTGAGCTTAGGAGTTTGAGACCAGCCTGAGCAAGAGCAAGACCCTATCTCTACTAAAAAAATAGAAAGAAATTAGCTATACAACTAAAAATATATAGAAAAAATTAGCCGGACATGGTGGCACATGCCTGTGGTCCCAGCTACTCGGGAGGCTGAGGCAGTAAGGTAGCTTGAACCCAGGAATTTGAGGTTGCTGTGAGCTAGGCTGATGCCACAGCACTCTAGCCTGGGCAACAGAGTGAGACTCTGTCTCAAAAAAACCCCCCAAAAACAAAAAGTAAATCTGAAAAAATAAAGTTCTAGAAATAAGAAGGTTAAGTGTGTTAGTAAGAAATATGGAAATAGTGACATATCATGGAATATTCATATATTTGGTATGGAGTTAAGTTACATAGCATGAGGTGGCCCACACAGAGACCGATTGAGTTGACCTTCTAAAAGCTCAAAAAGATCATCCTCTGAACATGTAGCTCTGAAAAGCCTACTTAACTAGGCATAAAGTTGATTATTGAATGTATATATGTTTCTATGCACTGGGAATGTTGATTTAAAAAAACATACGGTTCTGGTGAGAGCCCCAAAACTTTGCTAATGTCCAGTGTTTTTCCACATGGAAAATTACAGAAGTTTTATAAGCTTTAAGTAAATCTGGAAGAACTTTAGAAAATGTTGGCTTCAACAAAGCATATTAATTTATTGAAAAATGACTGGGCCTTGTTTCTTGGGGAAAAATACTTAGTATGCTGATGAAAATGCTATTATTCTCAAATTAATGTAAAAATTTCCACATTTTCCCCTAACTTAAGACGGGGAGGCAGAAGCAGTGAGAGGCCACTGAGCAAGAGAGGAGGGTGCTGCAGTTTTGTAAGGTCTCATTGGTTCCTTGGATTTACTATGAGAAATGTTAGGAAAGCACACGGCCTGCGAACTTTAGCACTTTTGGGAAGACTTTTATTCTCCGTCCCTCTCCATTTTTGGCTCATTCTGAAAGATACTAAAAACAGTCTGTGCTATATTAGAAATTTTAGACATAGTCAAATAAAAGAGGAAACTCACGCTACCCCCCCATGCCTATCTAACGTCCTTCTTAGTGTTTTTAAAACTTTAATTGTTTATGTACTTTGCCCATCTTCTAGGAGGGGGTTCTAGACAAACCAGTGTCTATGTTCCCCCATGACAGGGCTCTAGATAAATACATACTCCTCTAGTCCAATAGAAGTCTTATTGGCTAAGGTGCAGGAATCAGTCTTAGTAGATGGGCTTGCCCTGAGCTTGGGTATGTTCTGAGTTACTTATGGAAGCCGGGAAATGTGTAGGGATCATGCTGCTGTTTGAGGACCAAGGTATCCATAGCGACACTTGGGGATGTTGGAAACACACATGGGTTTGATTCCTCTGTTGGAAGCACCAAGGTTGTCGGTAGTGATCTCTGTGCCTTTCTCTGCCACTTCCTTTCTTTGCGGCTGGAGACACTCAAAATTACCTCCTTATCCCCAATTTTGGTCTTGTTTGGAATAATCTGGGGAGATTATTACATTCATAGAAATTAATTCATTTTATGTGCATACTGTCACGTTGTTTCGTCTTTTCTGCTTCTACTCCATCTAAAATCCTTCCTCTTGCTTTTGTAGGCCCTCTTCTTCCCTGTTGCTTCCAGAAGCCCTCACTTTTACTCACTCATAAGCACTTTCGTCTTTACTTTCTTACTGTAACGCAGCTAAGATAGATAGAGAGACAGAACCACTACTGTCAAGATCCTCCGTTTACCCTCCAAGAAATACTATTCCAGAGGACACTTCAACCCCCTTGAAGCTTGGCCCTGGCTGATAGTTCCAATTTATAGCATTTTAATAGTCCTGGCATTCTCAGAAGCTTACTTCATCCATCTTTAATACAAATTATATTTCTGTCACCCAAAACTGATGTTGACAAATGTGCATAAGCAAGTGGCTGGAGGTGCCACTAAGCCTGGCTGATTTATTTCAGTGCTTACTTCTAAGTATTTGAAATATCCCAAAATAGTCATACCTCTCTTTCTGTTGCCTTCTCCCTAAAAAGTAACTTTATTCTGGGTTCTATTTTATAACAAAGCAAACATGAAAATTTGAAGTGTCTAAACACCTGCTGTTATCTAGCAGAAATGAGAAACTCAGGGCAGTGGTCTGTTTAGCATCCTAATGCATGTGTCCTTTTCTGTGCAGGCTGGTTATATGTCTGGGATGCTGGTCCCTGTGGGGGTTGGGATAGCTGGTGCCTTGTTCATCTTGGGAGCGCTCTACAGCATTAAGGTTATGAATCGCCGAAGGAGAAATGGCTTCAAAAGGCATAAAAGAAAGGTATGGAACCAACAATAGCAAAACCTAATCAGTTTCAGAACATTCTTCGCTTATCTAATTTGCTTAATAAAGCACACGGGGCTTAATGATGCATGAACAGTGTTGATGTGCCCAGTGGTTTGGATTAGCCGTAGCAGCTGCTGCCTCGGCTTCGTTCATTAGTACATCTTTTAAAGTGAGCCTGTTTCTCAGCTTTGCTCTGCTGCATAAAGAGTTTAATGCTTTTCTGTTTTCTTTCTCTAGCAGAGAGAATTCAACAGCATGCAAGATCGAGTAATGCTCCTAGCCGACAGCTCTGAAGATGAATTTTGAATTGGATGGAGGTTTAATTGGGATTTTCAACAATGCTATTACTTTATTTTTTATTTTGGGGGAAAAAACAAAAAAGAACAACATCTTGACACATTGCTGCTATCAGGCCGTCAGTCCTAGTATCTATTGGGTAGTAGGTTTTTCTTGTACTGAGCAGAAAAGTCATGCTGTATACTAAATGTAACATGCAGTATTCAGTTTTATTCTGTAGTGAATTTTCCACAACTGTGGGCTACAACTCATAAATATGCAGCATATATGTTGTTCAGTAGGAGTTGCTAGGTTAGGTAGAGTAAATATTTTGTATTTTTCCACAGTATCTTTTCCTTGGTTTGTATTACCTGCATTAAGTATAATGATTGTTGCTGCCAAGTCATGCTTGACTTTGAAATAGAAATCTTAACAAAGAATAACTTCTCATGATTGCACTCTACTTACTTGAACCTATAGGCTTGTTGGCAACAGTAGATACTGCATTTGCATTAAAACTAACAGCAACTCAGAATGAAATCTTTTTCATCAAGAAGATCTCTCAGTGCATTAGGATTATATGTAGATTTGTATGTAGATCTTGCATTATGTACTAGAGTCTCCTAGTTTTGTTATTTTTCACCTTGTGTTTTATTTTTATTCTTGGCAAGGAAAAAAATGCACTAGAAATAATACATTAAATTGACTTTTAATCTTAATATATGCTTGCTTTTTTGAATTGTGATTGAGTCCAACAGGCCTATCAACAGAGTGTATCCTTAAGAGATATTCTTTTTGTGTACTATTTGACTTTACAAAGAAGAAATGAGGAAGAAATCAAAAAGAAAATGAGGATAGGTTGCCGGGAGTTAGCTACTCTCCCAGCAAAACAGGTCCCAAGAGATATGGAAATAATAGAGACAGAGAAATAACAGAGACAGAGACAAAGTGCAGTTTAAAGTGACAGGAGAGTCAGGGGTCCTCCAGCATTCCCGTGAGCTGTGAGGCCCTGAGTGAAATCCCACATCAGTATTTATTGTTATAGCAAATACTTGTCCTTGGTTAAAGAATTATGTGTATGGTTCATTCGTTAAGGTTTCAAGGCTCCCCAGAGGTTTCAAGGGAACCTTACCTAATTCTGTCTACAAGAATAGGTGGTTACAAAATTTTTCTGAGATAAACATGTTAAGCTCTAAGTTAGAAATAGACCTAGCTGAGCATACAAATTAAAGATAAAAATGTATAAAGTAGGAACACTGAGTCTGTGTACTAATCTAATCTATTTCTCTAAATACAGAGACATGTGGCCAGGAGAAGCAGGAATAGCCTTGAAGTTTAAGATAGTTCCAGCTGCATGTTGTCTGTTGGGCTGGGATTTAATCAGCTTCTCAGCCCTGGGCCCAAACTGAGCTCTTCCTTGCAAATAAGGTCTGTGTGATGGCTAAGCAGCATCGAAGAAACATTGCTGTGCAGATGTCCTCAGACAATGCCTGCCTTTGTTGCTAAATAGCTTCTAGTCTGTGAACTAACATGCCCGCCCACAGATTCCTTCAAGGCAAAGCCTGCAAAACTCCTGAAACTGTTCACATCTCTTAGTCTTGTTTCTCAACAGGAAGTGAGCTCCCAGAGCATTTATCTCTGCCATTTGGTTCTGTTCTTGCCTAGCCAGTGCTGTGACTAATTTAGAGCATTGCTTTTTCATGGCTGTGGTCTTGGCCATGGAAAGAGTAAGCCATCATTGGCCTTTATTTGGCTTTGGTAGGAAAATAGACATTCTGTAGTAGAAGCAGGCCTAGTGGCCAGAGCTCTCATGTACAATAGAGCCTGTGGAAAACTGACCTCTCTCAGGTATCCCATTGTTGGGATGTTGGGCTATCTATGAATATTTTTCATTTCCTTTGGATTGTAATGCCCTGCCCTATACCTAATAGGATATTCAAATGCCCTGTGTGAATCTGGGCACTTGGGACTTGCAGTTAGTTGAGTTTTGGGGTAGAGATTTGACTCATTTCCATGAAAGAATAAAGATTACTAATAATACAATTGCTTGTATTGCATTTGTTAGAGCCTGTTCTACTATGTTAAAGGCAAGTTGCACAGTTAGTCTTCATAGCTACTGTGGGAGGTGAGACATAAATTTCTATTCTCCCATTTGACTGAAGATGGAACTAAAGCAAAGAAGTGAAATGATTATCCAAAGTTATACTCAGGGAGAATCAGCTCGAGAACCTACTTGGACTCAAAACCGTGTATCCCTATCTTAAGTTTGGTGTCCTTTTCATACACTTTGCAGGAAGTAGTGACATTTCAGAGTGATTCTTTAAAACAAACATTCTAAAGAAATAGCTGCTTGGTCAAGGAACATTTGATATGAGTTTCTGTCTTTGTTAAATGAACGATGCCTTTCTAATTTCTCTTTTACTCACACAAATTCTTTGCCTTCCCATCTCAGTTGTTTCCTTTACAATCACATAAACTGAGGTCTCATCTCTATGGAAATAATAGAGAAACCTTACCAGAATCCATTCTTGAATGATGGCTGGCTCACAAGAATGTTTTCATCAAATAATTTTAATTCTTTTTGCCAGGAGATGTAAGCAAATGTGTGAAATTGATCAAGAGAAATACACATCTCTAAACCGGCAAATAGAAGTTAAAAACTGGCAAATAAGCTCAAGATCAGACTTTAAAAAAATAGAATTCAGATCCATGATATTCGTAAGTAGTTTGTAATTTCATGAGTAGAAGCATCTTGATATTGCATAAGGATGTTTTCCTTTTCTAAGAGCAGCTCCTTTCTGTAAGTGTTAGGAGTGAGAGAGCATGGAGTGGTATTGCAGTCTTTGTAGTTTTGACAATCTGTTTATAGAGAATACACAATAGGCTGCTTAATTCAGCAACACATGAGTGATATTAATGGCCCCCACCAATGCCTCAGGCTACTCAATCTGTAGTCTTAACTAGACCTTGGCTAATAGATTGAATCTTCAAACTATAGTATAATAAATTCACAAATCACAGACCTATATTTTTATTTTTCCAGAAGGCTGTGAGGATGATATGTATAATATATGAATTTAGGCGTAAGCAGAAATGTCTCTGCAGCCCTTTTTGGGACATGTGACTGTTAAAAGGAAAAGATGTTACTTAGATCACAGTAGGTTTCTATACAAAGCCATTTAAACATCTAGATTGAGTGGAAGGTCAGTGGATGGCACAACTGGTATGTTTATTTTGGTCATTTTCCTTGTTGTTTGTGGCTGTGGAGTGATGATTTTCAGTGGTTGGTTTAGATTATTAAGAGGATCAGAAAAGCTTGTCATGATCTAAACAAAACCTGGGACTCGGATTAAGGGTGCTGCCCCCAGATGGAAGTGCTGGCCAATGGTTATACTGTAGTCCGCGTGAACAGTAGTAGTCAGGCACTGGTGGGTTGGCCTAAAATATTGGCACATTAAAAATAAAAAGTCAACTCTTGATTCCAATAACTAAGCTCAAAACATTTAACAGAGAACAAATAAGGCTGGCTGGTAAGGAGGGCTGGTTACCGCAGCTTCAATTGTGAATACCTTCCCCACCAGACCAGACTTACTCAGGCTGAACTGCCGGGATCCCAATCCAGGGACAGGCTCTTGGTCTTACTCTCAGAGGGAGAGGCAGCGTTTCCCAAACTCGCCAGCTCTTAAGAATCTCCTGGGACACTGGTTAAACATGCAGATTCCAAGGTTTTACTACAGACCCACTGAACCTGAATCTCTAGGGAAGGAGCTGGGGGTTCTCATGCTCTGGCAAGTGTGAGAACACAGCTAGGGGAGCATCTATCTAGTGAACAGCTTCCTTATTAAAGAGACAAGGCAAATTAAAACCACAGTGAGCCATCACCTTACACCTATGAGGATGGCTATTATCAAATCATACAAAAGATAACAAATACTGGTGAGGATGTGGAGCAACTGGAACCCTTGTACAGTCTATTGGTGGGAATGAACAATGGAAGACAGTATAGAGGTTACTCAAAAAATTAAGATTAGAATTACTATATGATCCAGCAATCCCACTTTTGGGCATATATTTTAAAAAAATTGCAACCAGGATCTTGAAGAGATTGCTGTATTCTCATATTCATTGCAGCACTATTCACAGTAGCCAAGATATGGAAATACTAAAATGTCTATCAATAGATAAATAAAGAAAGTGTGGTATATACATACAATAGAATATTATTCAGCCTTTCAAAGAAATGGAATCCTGTCATTGTGACAATATGGATAAACTTGGAGGACATTATGCTAAGTGAACTGAGCCAGTCGCAGAAGGACAAATACTCATGATTCTACTTATATGAAATACCTAAAATAGTCCTGCTCATAGAAGCAGAGGTAGAATGGTGATTGCCAGGGGCTGGGAAGATGGAAAAGTGGGGAGATATTGGTCAATTACATTTCACTTATAAGATGAGTAAGTTTTAGATAGCTGTTGTACAACATAACACTTATAGTTAACAAAACTGTATTGTTCACTTAAAAATTTGTTAAGAGGGTAGATTTCATGTTAGTGCTCTTACTAATAAAAAAGAGACAAAGAGAGCAGGCCCCTGTGGGAAGAGACCCTTTCTGTAGTCATGCTGTCCAATAAATCACACCTGCCATGGAGAAAGGAGAAAGGCAAATGAAAGGAAAAAGAGCAGAAGCTACTAGAAAGAAAGAAAGAAAAAAAGAAGGCTGAGATGGAGAGAATGGTTCCTTCCATGGCCCTGATGTCTTTGTCTTTTTCTCTAAAGGAGACAGTACCTTTCTTTCAAACCTCTTTAGGTTTTTTTCTTTCCCGTAAGCTGCTTCTTTCAGTAGCTGTTGGCTTAATTTATATGCAATATATGGAGTTAATTAGTATCCCAGGGCAACAGATCCCCTTAGCAGTGCCTCAGCCTTGGCTTCAGCTCATAAACTGCCTCAAATGTAGTTTTCCAGAAACACTTTCCTAGAGTACCTGTGTCTCTCTCAACACCGGTCCAAACGGTTGTGGAGAAATTTTTGAAGCCGAGTTTTAGAACATATTTAAAGTAATTTTAGCACAATCCATTAAAGCTAGTTCTTTATTATTTTTTTCCCCCAGAGGCTAAGAGTAAAAATCAAAACTGGAGATATCAGAAAAATGACATAGGGCAGTGTGGAGCATTCTGAATGCCCAGTGCCTCCCCCGCCATGCCTCCGGCTAGCTTCCTCCTGTGGAAGTCCAAATGAAACACCTGACTTGGAATGGAGCCGCAGCTGGGGGGGAGAAGAATCAAATCATCCACAAGCGTTATGAATAATTGACGTTCTTTTTAGCTGCCAGAAAACAACATTTGGAGACTAGATATATTATTTGGCACAAGGTTATAGCTATGTGGCCTTTTGGCAAGACAGGCTTTGTTATGACCACAGAGAAATCTGAAGAGGCAGGATTACAACTGGAAACAAAAAGAAAATCTCTTCTTTTTAGGATATGAAAAGTATGGTTCCAAGAAAAGAAATATGGTAGAAGAAGATGGAAGGAAAATCATAATACAAGGCAGATATAAAAACAGCACAAGTGCTGGAGGAAGCCAAAGTTCTGAATGGACTGATGCTTGGAAACGTGATAGGGAAAATCAAGGAGAAGAATGCAAATGAGGAAGATCATTAGCAGGATAAGGAACCATAAAGCCACAAAATCTATTTTGCTTCCGTCGTCTCCATCA